TTCGCTCGTAGAGCAGAAACTATGCAACTAGATATACAAACATGTGTTCCTATTTCTATTGTTTGATCAAATAACTCGGTACACGTTGCGGAATATTTAATACCAGCTTATTAAAACATATTGAGCTATAATGGCGTAGAGCAGCATATGTAACATCAACATGGTGCCGTGACCTTTCGCCTAGCGTCCATCTGCAGCGGTGCGTCACGTGACCACCGCTGCTGATGGGGGGGGGGTTGCTAATACATAACATGACCTTCATAGTAATTGGTTTATTAGATCTGATAATATCACTGTTATACAATTATTACCATCTTATGATATATTATATTATTAATATTATTGTATTTATGTGCCGCAGATTAGAAAGGTTTGAGTGGTCGTTGAGCAAGAAAGTCTGTGTAGTTGTACATTGTAATGTAGTAATAATTTATTATAATAATAACAGCAATTTATTATATTAATATTATTGTTAATAATAATAATATGTTTAATGACATTGGAATAGCACTTGAAATAGCATGCTGAACAGTTTATTAGTTATTGTGCATTTAAATACAAACTTTTCAATATTCATATTTACTTTACTTTACTTTTACTTTTAGTCATTTAGCAGACGCTTTTATCCAAAGTGACTTACAAATAAGAAAAAGTAATTAAAACTAAAAGCTAAAACAATATAAATACTATATATACACACATTTAAGAAAATAAAAGAAATTAAATAAAAATGACAAATGCATACAACAACATTTCAAAACTAAACATTTAAATGAAAACAAAAAAATAAAGCTAAAAACGATTCAAAATATAAAAAAAACAAAAAGTATGAGTATAATAATGATTCTAACATTGTTATGAATCTAAGCCAAACACCAAAAAAACAACTACATATGTGTATATACAGCCACACAGGTCTGAATACTTTCCGTACCCACTGTATATATATATATTATTTAATTTCCATTTTCTATGTTGAAGTACTGAAATAACTCAAATTAAATAAAACAAAAACTTAATAAAAAACCTATATAGACATAATAAAAAACTAATACAATTATTATATTAATTATTACAGTAAAAAAAAAAAAAGCTATCCAATGTCCCCATTACCAAAAGCAATATAAAAATATTAAAAAAAATTTAAAAATGTAAAAAATATTTGACTTCCTGATCAGTCTCTCAGTCCCCAAATTCAGGTTGAGCCAATGTTGCTGTGTCCTACTGGTCATACTATTAATACATTTACATTTTATTTTAAGTGCGTGTGGTTGTGGTGCATCAGAATCTGTGTAGTTTCATAATTGTTTTCAGATGGCATTGAAACCATGTGGTTACTGAAATGTGCAATTAGTTTCCAAGGACTCCACAATGGACACCACTGCACAACATTAGTGCTAAAACTTGCCCACTATTCTCTGGCAATCTCTCATTACCCTTATGAGAAGGAAGTACTCTTTGAGACACTTTAAAAAAAAGAGTACTTAATACGGAAATAATATTCAAAGAATACACTTCATTGCATGCTAATGAAAACATGTAGTTTAAATGTGCATATATTAAATGCAGTTAGATGTTAACTAGTTTTTTTAACTCACTTTAGTAGGAATTTGCATCATCATGTACAGTAATTTCACTTCTACTGTCATTGAAATATTATTAAAATAATGATTTAAAATGTACTTTAAAACTTTTGATTTGAGATGATTGCAAAATGCACTTTTTAAAAATTGTACTTAGTTGCCGTAAAGAGACATAGTCAAGAAAGTGAACTCTCTTCAAGTACAATTAAGTGGCCTTTAATTTAATTTCATCTGCATTATATTTCAAGATTAAATACAATTAACACAAGTGTATAATAGTATGGTTGTGTTTGTAGTAAATCAGTGGTTTGTAGCTTAAGCATTGTTCATGTAATTCAACGACTGAATGAAGTTGTCTACCTGGTTCAGAGAAGAGTTCCTGTACAAACCAATTTATCATCTTTTAACATAAGAGAGGTGAATACACCTTTGTTTTGAAAAAGTGACAAAGACATAAACCCTAAATACACACTTTATAATGCCATGCAAGCATTATATCTGATGTTGTCAATGATCTCAGACCTGTTATATTTATTATGTAAATATAATACATTGTTTGAACTTTCATGTTATGATTGTTGTCATTGTCAGATGTCATTGTGACATATCAAACATCCATGCTCCTTTATTTATATCAGAGCGATGTTTACAATACAAGCGCTTATGAAAGGTCACCGAGCTCATGAATAAAGCACATTCTGTAATCCGCTCTGTTATGTCATGCAGTATAACAATGTTTGTTCATGTTCCTTTTTAAAGGAATAGTTCACCCAATCCAAGATGTATATGAGTTTGTTTCTTCATGGGAACATATTTGGAGAAATTTGTCATTCCATCACTTGCTTATCAATGTATTCTCTGCAGTGAATGGGTGCCGTCAGAAAGAGAGTCCAAACAGCTGATAAAAACATCACAAAAATCTACAAGTATTCCACACCACTCCAGTCCATCAATTAACATAATGTGAAACAGAAAGCTGCATGTTTGTAAGAAACAAATCTTTCTTTTAGGGCGCTTTCACACCTGTAGATCGATTGCTTTGTTACGAAACAGGGATTCAAATTATTACAATGTTGCTTTTTATTCTTGGTGCAGTTTGCTTTCACACGGCAAAGTTTCTAAACGGACCAAATTTGTTAATGCAAGTCAGGTGCGAGTAAACTGTTGTCTCATTGGTCAAAGTTCCACGGTTTATTTTCCGGGATTCCACTTAGCTGTCACGCATGTCATCCGTCAGAATGGAACGGCAACATCTTCGCGGGCTTATTGTTGTTTTTTTTGTAGCTGTCGTTATAATAATGTATCATTTTGAGCAGGAGTCCAGGATTGATTGGGAAAACATTTTTAAAATGCACCTACTACAAAGAAGAGCAATATGATGGCATTATAAAATAAAAAAAGTGCTCTTTGATTTTGAATGGCAAAGACGTGCTCACCCACAGACATTCACAGGTTCATTTTGAGGTATTAGCAAAACAACAAAGCTAATGCTTTTCACGGAACTTACATAATTACCCATCATAAATTGTGATATAGCCTGGTTTGTTGGTCCGTTGGATCGGATTACTTTCTCACTACAACCGAACCGCTTCAGAGTTCGTTTTCAATCGAGCCGAGACCACCTCGTTCAGGCGATCTCGGACCGATTGTTTTGGCGCGGATCCGAGCACGATTGCTGTGTTCACATATGCCCAAACAAACCGAGCTAAGGGGGGAAACGCGCCAGGTTCCAAAACAACAGGCCAGGTGTGAAAGCACCCTAAGAGGCTTTTAACTTCAAACCAGTAATATATTATAAATACGATATGCACTGCAAATATTGTTTCTCCAGTAAAAAAGTTCTCTGGTCTGAATCAGTAGACAAATGTGCAAAGATCAAGCACTGTTTACAAGAAAAAACAGTCCAAAACGTCTCGGGTTACTTGCGTAACCCATGTTCTCTGAGTAGGGAACGAGACGCTGCGTAGCTATGACGCTCTTACGTCGCCATCCTTATACTGGTGAACGTGCCATCTGCTCCTCAGATTTCAGCACGAGGAGCTTGGCAGCAGACGCAGCATCTTGTTCCCTACTCAGAGAACATGGGTTATGCAAGTAACCCGAGACGTTCTCTTTCAAAGGTTCACTCGACGCTGCGTAGCTATGATGCAATGGGAACAATATACCAAACACGCCAAGCTAAAGCGCTGCCGTATCTGCCCCGATGATGAACCAGATAGTAACCACGGCTGGTTCAAGCGGACAAGACCCAGGAACCAGGAGCCGTGTCAACATCCAAATTGTAGAACTTGATAAAAGTGTGCGGAGAGGACCATCCTGCCACTATACAAATATCCCCTATAGGACAGGGGTGTCAAACTCAGTTCCTGGAGGGCCACAGCCCTGCACAGTTTAGATGCAAGCCTAATTAAACACACCTGATCCAGCTAATCAAGTCATTAAGAAAGAATAGAAAAAGAATAGGGAATGCTAGTGTTAGAGGGTCATTTTTAAATAAAAATAAAACAATTCAATAGAACAGAAAAAGAACAGATAAGGCTAGTGTTAGAAGGTCATTATTTATGATAAATAAAAAGAAAATAAGTGGAAAGAATAGAGAAAGAATAGAGAATGCTAGTGTTAGAGGCTTTTTTCTTTATAAATAAAACACGCAGTTAGAATAGAAATATAATAGAGAGCGCTAAAGTTAAAGGGTCAAATGAAGATGAAAGAGATGTGTTTTCAGCCGTTTCTTGAAAATATTAAGGACTCAGCTGCTTGGATTGAGTTGAACCACCCTTGGCGGTTTATGTAAGATTCCACTGCCATGTTGTCCATCCTGACAATCACATGACACCCCCTGTAGTGAGGGGAGAAAGTGTATCTGTGCCAGAGAGACGCTCTCAGCTCCAGGCTGTTTATGTGCCAAGAGAGGAACTCTCCCGCCCCAGCCATTTGGCGATGGTAACAGCGCTCATACTGACCCCTCTCAGAAGAAAGAGGGGGTCCCGCCATATTGAAAGGGCGCAGAATCAACTGCGTGACACCTTTAATAAGTGAAAGGCTGGTCCCTTCAAGCAGATCCTTAAATGTTTCATCCACCAAAGGAATGGCCTCATATGAAGCAGCCCCAGGGGCAGCACCGGGGCGACTGCTGCCATGAGGTCCAAGAGCTTGTGACAAGTGCTCACAGAAACATGATGGCCTAGCTTGAAGCGGGGCAAGCATGTGTTGAGGCGGGAAATCCAGGCAGGAGCCAGACGGACCTGCATCTGAACGGAATCCAAGTGAACCCCCAAGAAAACAGTCAGGGGGTCAGAACATTCTTTTTTTAGGCCAAGAAACATAATGTGGCGAAGGAGGACATCCCTGTGGTAACTCACTAATTCCATGGAGTGGGCTAAAAGGAGCCAATCGTCCAGATAATTGAGTACACGGATGAACTGGAGCCTCAATGGGACCAGAGCAGCATCCATGCACTTTTTGAATGTCCTTGATGTCAAGGCCTGGCCAAAGAGAAGAACCTTGTACTGGTAAGCCTTTGCCCCAAAGGCGAACCTGAGAAACTTCCTCTGCCGCCGAGCGACCTGAATATGAAAATAGGCATCCTTCAGGTCAACAGCTTATCTAGTTTTGTTTTGCTTTTTGTTTTGTTTTGTTAAAAAAGTATAACTGTTAAAAGTCCAAAAACATATGCAAACACAAAGGTCTGATTCTTGCTTTGTAGTTTTTGTTTTGTTTTTGTTTTTTTTTGTTAAAAAAGTATAGCTGTCCAAAGACATATGCAATCAGGTCTGATTCTTTGCTTTGTAGTTTAACTTGTACTTTTATTGTTTTGTTTTGCATTTGTTGTTTTCATAACTTTATTTTGTAACTGTAGCAGGAGACTTTATAGAACTTTTGAAATCCGTTGCTAATGAAAAGCTCAAGCATCAGATGGTTCTCTTTGTAGTTCTTTCAATCTAATATCTTCAAAACAGATTACAATGTTATACAAGAAATGTGTTTTATTACTGCTCTATATCACACGCAGTTCACCAGCTTATTTTATGAGTAGTCATAACAAACAATTCCATGTCTCTGAAAATCTTATTATACCTTTCATTCATGTACTCATAACTTACAGTGTAGCTACAGTGCTGATAATAACAAATCATTACTTAGCATTCCTTAACTAGTGTTGAAGTAGTGATCTATGCTGATTAAATATTATATCATTTTAATAATTAAAAAAATGTTTAGTAAACTAATAATAACTAATTATTACAGTGTTTCGGAAAGGGCACTGCAGTTCATTTCTAACTTAACGGCTGTATTTCCCTTCAGTAAGTACGTAACAGAAGAAGGGCAGCGTGTTGTTGGTGGTGTGCTGATTGGGACCGGATTGTGGATTGCTGTGACTTTCGTAATGAGAAATGTCCTCAAGTACTTGCTGTCCTGGCACGGCTGGATGTTCAATCGCCATGGCCAAACAAAGTAGTTTCGCTTTCACAACGAAACACACAGCGCCTTCGCGACATGGTGGCGGCGGCAGCAACAATATTACAGCGAGAATAAAAGTTATGCCTTCTTTCTTTGCGTGAACATTTGGGCGGCGTTATGCAAATCTTCTCACATCGTGAAGTAGACATGTGGGGGCGTGTTAGAACGAGCCGTTTTAGGTAGGCGTGGTTGACTCTTAACTTTTATAAAGAATATCTCTTTGGATTTGAGACTTTAGTCTTTGCAACTTTACAGATCTTCTTTATGCATCAAGAGCTTGTAACACTCCAAAGAGAAAGGAAAAATTGAAATCGCATCATATGACCTCTTTAAGTTACCTTTATTTGTGGTTTGTGTCATGCTGTAGCGTGGGATTTGGGTTTTGTTTCTTGTTCAGGTTTTCTGGTCTTTTATTTTGATATTTTGCCTTGTTTTATGTTGCTGTCGTGTGTTCCTTGCCCCTCATGTGATCATGTCATGAGCTACTCTTGTCTGCGTTTCATGTTGTGATTGGTTGCTTGTGTTAGAACGAGCCGTTTTAGGTAGGCGTGGTTGACTCTTAACTTTTATAAAGAATATCTCTTTGGATTTGAGACTTTAGTCTTTGCAACTTTACAGATCTTCTTTATGCATCAAGAGCTTGTAACACTCCAAAGAGAAAGGAAAAATTGAAATCGCATCATATGACCTCTTTAAGTTACCTTTATTTGTGGTTTGTGTCATGCTGTAGCGTGGGATTTGGGTTTTGTTTCTTGTTCAGGTTTTCTGGTCTTTTATTTTGATATTTTGCCTTGTTTTATGTTGCTGTCGTGTGTTCCTTGCCCCTCATGTGATCATGTCATGAGCTACTCTTGTCTGTGTTTCATGTTGTGATTGGTTGCTTTAGTCATGTGCCTTGTTTCCCATTGGTTGGTTTGTGTCTTGTGACTCTTATTGTTTGGTATTTATAACCCTCATGTTGCCATTAGGTGTGTTCGACTTGAACCACGGCTACAGACGGCAGTCAACGAGAGTAGCCGCTTGCAGTCGAGGGTGGAGTTGAAAACAGAGCTGTCAAGTCAGACACTTTCTGCTTGTGGTAGTGACTCTAGCGCGGTGTTTGCATACGCTGTCACAGATGAAGTGAATTAAATGCAATATTTGTCAAATACACAGACATTTCTGAAATGCTTTCATGAGCAACATAAACACTGTTTATATACTGCTTAATACAGCACCATCTGTTCAAGAATAAAGTTCAACATAATCATATACTATTTAAATACTAATAAAGTGGGGGTAAATATTTTTTTATCAGTGTTTTATGATAAACGTGACTCAATATAACATTTTATAATGTACATTAAAAACAGACTACATTAAAAAACCTTTTACTGTTCTAAAAACACAGATTTGTGGCCATTATTGGAATTGAAAAGGTTATAATTAAACCCGAAACACACGTGATTGTTGTCATGCAGTGAATCTGGCCAATTGTGAAACAGCGGGGTCGTCGTCAGAGCTCCTGCAGTCTCTCTGAAGAAACTGCAGCGGCTGAGTCAGCCAGCTGCTCTCGAATCGCTATCACGGCACTTTGATGCCACACATGACAGTCATGTGGCGTCGGCGCCGTCTCAAGTCTGACAAAATTTCTAACCGGCATGCACTGCTTCAAGTCAGAATTTGATCAATCTGTGCAGCGCTGCGTTAAGTCGAACGCACCTATTGTCTCTGGTCGAGTATGATTTGTGTATCCTGCTGTTGGTGAGTTTGTGTTTCTGTTCATGCCAAGTCAGGTCTGTTCAAGTCAAGTCTGTTTAAGTTAAGTCTGTTCATGCCGAGTCGAGTTTGTGTCAAGTCAAGTCTTTCTTTGTTTAGATTTTGGATATCCATGAATGCCATGCAAGTTTCCCCTAAGAATTTTTTTTAGGGGGGGCTATAGTACATCCGCAGGAGCTTGGGCCAGGACTGATAAGACTGATTGCCAGTGTGATGGATCTACCTCTGATGTCAGTCTGAGCGGCTGGCATCCCAGTGGTCTTTACACTTTCAAGCCTCACAGCCTCAAGCCCGGCGAGCATGCCACTGTCTACTGCGCTGCCCATGATGGCGGTAGCCATCCTGAGAGTTTGGGCTGCACACTGCACTTCTGAGGCCTCTCTTGTCCACGAGTCTGCCCCAGAGGCCTCTCTTGTCCATAAGTCTGCCTTAGAGGTGGTGGGGTCCTCTGCTGAACCTCCAGAGGTGGAGGCTTCCGCTGCAGAACCTCCCGAGGCGGCGACGTCCATTTCTGAACTCTCTGCCTGTCCTGTCACGGCCATTCAAGGCCGTTCATGAACTCACAGACTGCCCTGTCACGTCCAAGAAGGCTGTCCATGAAATCTTTGCCTGTCCTGTCACTGCCAAGTGGGCTATCCATGAACTCTCTGCTTGTCCTGTTATGACCATTGAGGCCATTCAAGGATATTCTGCCTTTCATGTTGTGGCTATGGAGGCTGCTCACGAACTCTCTGCCTGTTCTATCACAGTCAAGTGGTCTGTCCATGTCTCTGCTCTGCCAAGGCTGCCTGCTCTGCCTGCTCCACCATGGCTCCATGCTCCTCTGGACCACCTCAGACCTGGTGGTCTCCTGGTCTACTGCTCTATGGTCTGCCACTGCTCCATGGCCCTGGCCCTCCACTGTTTTACGGTCTGTCACTGCTCCATGGCCCTGGCCCTCCACTGTTCCACAGTCTGCCACTGTTCCATGGCCCAGGTCCTCCACTGGTCCACAGTCTGCCACTACTCCACGGCCCTGGTCCTCCATTGTTCCACAGTCTGCCACTGCTTCATGGCCCAGGTTCACCATGGCTCCACTGCCCAGGTTTGCCATTGCTCCATGGTCCAGGTCCACCATTGCTCCACAGTCCTGGTCCTCTACAATGCCATGATCCAAGTCCTGTTCCCCTGCATGGGCCTGGCCCTCCATCCCTCCCCCAGTCCACCTCCGCTCCACCACCCTCCTGGACTTTTTGGGTTTTGTTCAGGTTGGGTGTTACGTTAGGGCATCTGGAGCTGCCCTTAGAGGGGGGGATACGTAATTTGGGGTTTGGGTTTTGTTTCTAGTTTAGGTTTTCTGGTCTTTTATTTTGATATTTTGCCTTGTTTTATGTCCCTTGCCCCACATGTGCTCATGTCATGTGCTACTCTTGTCTGTGTGTCATGTTGTGATTGGTTGCTTTAGTCATGTGCCTTGTTTCCCATTGGTTGGTTTGTGTCTTGTGACCCTTTTTGTTTGGTAGTTATAGCCCTCATGTTGCCATTGTCTCTGGTCGAGTATGATCCGTGTAACCTGCTGTTGGTGAGTTTGTGTTTCTGTTCATGCCAAGTCAAGTCTGTTCATGCCAAGTCAAGTCTGTTCAGGTCAAGTCTGTTCAAGTTAAGTCTGTTCATGCCGAGTCGAGTTTGTTTCAAGTCAAGTTTTTCTTTGTTTGGATTTTGGATAACACTTTGTTAAATAAAAGCTGCACATGGGTTCTTACAACTTGCCTTCAGTGGACTGATTGTTACACATACCTTGTATTATGAATATTTGACTTTGTTCTACTGTAATTCTCTCAGGTCAGCGACTGGTGGGAGGAGTATATTTACCTCAGAGGTCGAGGACCAATCATGGTCAACAGCAACTACTATGCAATGGTAAGACTGATATGCAATGGATAATCTGGATTTTGTTAAAAAGAAAGTCAAATTGTCAAAAAAAAAAATCAAGACGGTGAAATTTATTATGAAATTGATGAAAGTATTTCATCAAAATATGAAATTAACAAATTTACATTACGTTTTCCGTAAACAATTTTTTTAATATATCTTTCACATGTGCCACGGCACCAATTTTGTGATGTAGAATTGAACAAATTTACATTAAAGGGGTGGTTGACTGCTTTTTTCTAGGCTTGATTGTGTTTATGGGGTGCAGTCTAACATGTGTTAATGCCTCATTAAAAAAAAACAAACATTATTTTTCACATCATTTACCTTTATTCTGCACTGCTCTGTCCCTTCTCCTATGAACGCTCTGATGATTTCCTGGTTTTATGAAGCCCCTCCCTCTGAAATATGCAATGGGCTCAGATTGGTTAGCTGGCCTAGTGTGTCATGATTCGCTAAACCGCCTAGTGCAGTCCAGAAACGTCACACCTCTAACCTCAGTGGCATGTGCTCCGGTTGTATTGTAAACAATGGCGTCGTCAATATTGCTTATCAGTTTGAGCCCGATTGAGACCCAGAGAATATTAGTGAAGAGGATCATGCAGAACCTGTGCAAGCACGGCTCTTACAGGACGTTTCAGAATGGTATGTTTTTTTTTTTGTTGTTGTCTCATACTTTTAGATGCGCTGTTATTTGTAAATGCTACTGCTTATGATAGCTTTTAATATATGGTTTTATCCTCATTAAAGCTGTAATACAGCAGAATGCATGATTGCGTTGTAGCATTTTTGTAACAGTAAGAAGTGTTTGCCAGCAAGTATTGCTCACTACCATGGCAATTGCGTGCACATCCGTGTTTAACGTTTCTCATTGCTATGTGAAAAATATCTGTTTGTCTATAGACATAAAGTGTATAATTGGAACTCAGTTCATTGATAGAGCTGTGACGAGCTGATGATCTGAAAGAGAGAGAGAAAGAGAGAGAGATGCAGAGCAGAGCGTGTGCAGAGCAGGGGAACGCAAGGAAAATTATTAAAAAAATGCTGCTTTAGAGCATTGATTTTGAAACTTTTGAATCCATTAGAATCGTTAGAAGACAGAATTGCGATTCATATATGAATAGATTTTTTCGAGCACCCCTAGTTTTGACGGCATGGCAATAACTCTTCCTCTTTTCTAAAGCAGCGCAACATGGCCTCGCCCCCTTTGTTGCATGTTCCCGGGGCTGGGGTTTATGTAAATTTCAGGGTTTGTGATGTCACCAACCTGGGAAGTAGCTTGTTGTAGACCCTACTAGCCGTAACTGTAGGCATTAAACAGCCATAATTTTAAAAGACAATATATCCGTTTGCAATTGAACTTTCAGCGTTGTAACTTTGCAGATATTGTTTATGCTCGAACAGCAACATTATACACTAACTAAAGTTAAAAAAGTGAAATCATAATCAACCACCCCTACAAGTTTTGCTTGTAGCACAAACTATTTTTTTTAATCTACCATCTGGGTCTCGGCACCAATTTTTGTCATGTAGAAATTAACAACATTAAATTTTTTGCTTGTAGCACAAGTTTTGCTTTTAGCACAAACAATTGTTTATGTAAATCTACCATCCAGGTCATGGCACCAATTTTTGTGGTGTAGAAATGAACAAATTTACATTAATTCTTACTTGTAGTGCAAACTACTTTTATAAATCTGCCATCCGGGTCACGACACCAGTTTTTGCGGTGTAGAAATTAACAGATTTACATTAGATTTTGCTTGTAACAAACTATTGTTGTAAATTTACCATCTGGGTCATGCCACCAATTTGTGTGGTGTGGAAATGAACAAATTTATATTAAGTTTTTCTTGTAGAACAAACATTTTTCCGAGTCACTGCACCAGTTTGTGTGGCATAGAAATGTTATACATTTACATGATGTTTTGCTTGTAGAGCAAACAATTTTTTATAAATCTTCTACCTTGGTCACAGTACCAATTTTGTGGTGTAGAAATTAACAAATTTACATTAGATTTTGCTTGTATCAAAAACTATTTTCATAAATCTGCCATCTGGGTCATGGCACCAATTTTTTGGAGGTAGAAATTAACAAATTTGCATTAAGTTTTGCTTGTAGCAAACTGTTATAAATTTACCACCTGGGTCACAACACTAATTTCTGTAGTGTAGATATTAAGAAATTCACATTAAGTTTCGCTTGTAGCACAATCTATTTTTGTGGTGTAGAAATTAACAAATTTACATTACATTTTGCTTGTAGCACAAACTATGTTTATAGCTAAATCTACCATCCAGGTCATGGCACCAGTTTTTGTGGGGTATAAATAAACAAATTTACATTATATTTTGTTTGTAGCACAAACTATGTTTATAGCTAAATCTACCATCCAGGTCATGGCACCAGTTTTTGTGGGGTATAAATAAACAAATTTACATTATATTTTGTTTGTAGCACAAACAATTTTTATAAATTTACCATCTGGGTCACAACACCAATTTGTGTGGTGTAGAAGTCAACCAATTTACATTAAGTTTTGCTTGTAGAGCGAACAATTTTATAAATTTGCCATCCAGCACCAATTTGTGTGGCATAAAAATGAATGAATTTACAATAAGTTTTGCTTGTAGCACAACATTTTTTTTTATAAATCTGCCATCCGGGTCACGGCACCAATTTTTGGAAAGTTGTTTTAACTCATTTAACTCCAGGTTGCTCGAAGGAGATTGTTTGTATAATAAGTTCATAGCACTGTTCAATGGCAGTATCTCAGGAGAGTGACAATCACTTTCTCTGTCTTTATCAGGACTTCCTCTATGTGATCCCCACTACACGTCAAGCTGCCCGTGCTGGTAATTCCATCCACGCCATCATGATGTACAGAAGAAAACTGGACAGAGCGCAGATCAAACCAGTGAGTGTAGATTCCACAACAAGCATATTCATCAATATTTGCTTAATTAAATGCAATTCATGATTTTTATACCTTCATTCTATTCAAGGATAATGTATTCGTTTTACCACTGATGAAGGAAATCAAACACTTTAAAGTGTCATCTTGAAATTAAGCCTACATAATATATGTTAGACTCGAAGGAATAAGTTGCCCTAAACGTAAAATGTTTTGTTATCATGTCATCTGCATGTTTTGCTCTTTTTCATGGAAGATATTTTGCAGGATGTCAAGCAGCTCTTTTCCATACAACAAATTGTCAAGGTTCTAAAACAACCACAACAAATAACATAATGGTAGCCAGTATAACTCATGACTTGTATGTATACAAAGTCTTCTGAAATAATACGGGAGCTTTTTGTGAGGAACAGGCCAAAATGCATTCAAATTACATTAAATAACCTTATTTCTATATAAGCAGCATCATGCAAAATATCTTCTTCTGTGTTACACAAGATAATGTCATAGAAGTTTGAAATGATACAGAGGTAAGTAAAAGGTAATGAAATGCAAGGTTGGGGGAACTATTCCCTTAAGTGTAATTATTAATGTTTCATAGGTCTAAGTAATGTATGGGTCAGTGGCGGTAAGCACTACTCAGAAATTCAGATGAAACATTAACTACTTCTGAAAACTGAGCTTTAACTATCACAAGGTGTTTATTATATAGTATATGTCTATGCATATGTGTGTGTATATATATATATATATATATATATATATATATATATATATATATATATATATATATATATATATATATATATATATATATATATATATATATATATATATATATATATAATGTTCTCTTCTGGTCTCTCTTACCTCCTACTTCATATCAAATGTATTTTAGTGCATGTTTGTGTCTGTTTTTTTGTTCGATTTTTTAAAATATTTATTTATTTATACTTTATAGTGATTAAATGAGTAGACATATGTTGAAAAAGGCTGTTTGTCATGTCATGTCATGCCATGCCTGTCTCTCTCTCTCTAACCCCCCAAACTCTGTGTGCATGACTGTGAAAGCGTACCCCTCATAAACAATCTTGTGTTTTGTTCCTCGCTCCCGGACGTTTCTGTGTTTGCTATGTGCGCTCACACACCACACGCACAGTTATACTTGCTGGAGAAGCGAGTGCCGCTGTGCTCGGCGCAGTGGGAGCGGATGTTTAACACGTCCCGTATTCCCGGGCTGGAGACAGGTAAGAGGAGGGGCTCGTCCGTCCTGACCCACATCTGACCCACACCCTCCATCAGCTCCAGCTGTGGCCGCCTCAGACTCAGCCTCAGGACAACAGCACAGCGGACAGGAGAATACAGAACTAATTGACTCAGTGGTCGACTAATAAGGGCTTTTTATTGGCTGATTTCTAGAGAGCAGGGTGGATGATGGGACATATAATTATGATTTATATGATATCATACAATTTAATGATAGCAGGCAACACCAAATCTTTCTTGGACACAACTAGCAGTAGCAGATGATAACTATAATATCAAATACCGATAATAGTGATACACCAATATATCAGCCAATTATAGAAACCAGTAAATAGTTGCAAAATCCTGATAATTAATTATATATTATTATAATAAATAATATAATATTTTATGTTATTATTATAATTTGAATTTATAATTCATATTATTATTATTTTTTTTCTTTTTATTATATTAATCCTATAATAATATTTTATAATATTTATGATAGCATTATTTAATTGTATGAAGTCACATAATTTATATATAATTTTTAAATAGTATAATTACAATTTTAGTAGTATTTTTCGTAAGTATTTTTCATTTCAGTCACCCTAATGCCATTGACAACCTGTATGACTTCCTTTATTTGAATTTTGGTACAAGATTTTCTATATAATTATGATATATCTATATCTCGTAACTGTTATATATACAATTTTTCATAATATAAGAGCACTTCTGGACTCCTTATCCACTTATATATATTTATATACAGATTTCAATAATATCAACAATAGTGATACAACAATATATTGGCCAAATATAGAAATAGTTAAATAGTTAAAAATAAAATACATAATACTTAGGGCTGTCAGTCGATTAACATTTTTAATCTAATTAATTACAAGATGTGTCGATTAATTAATCAAATTAATCGCAAATTAGATTTGGCTGTGAAATTACCCACAAAAGATCATTTAAAGCCATTATTGTGTTAAATAAGAAAGTATCATGTAGATATTACAAATAGTAGCTTTAGAAAGAAATATTTGATTTGATTTAACATAACATTTATTACACATAAACTTTTAAGCTACAATGGCCCAACATAAACTATGGAACATAAAAGAAGATAATTTGAGAAACATCTCGTATTTTTTGTTCATGCAATGAAAGTCACTTGTAACTAAAACAGTCTAGTTACCAACAGTCTTCGAAATACTTTATTTTATGTTGTGCAAAAGAAAGCCATACAGGTTTGAAACGACATAAGGTTAATTGATGACATAATTTAAATTTGCTGGTGAACTATCCCTTTAACTATCCCTTTTTTTAAATTAAATGATAAGCAATAAGAAATTAAAACTGCCAGCTGGTGGCGGGAAATGTCTTTATGAGTCATGTATTCATTCATTCATTTGATTCATTCAAACGGCTGATTCATACAGGAATGAAGTAAACGGCTCTCTTTATGAATGTGCCTTTGAAGTACTGGTTCACACGATTCGTTCAAAATGCGGATTCATTCAGAAATGAATGCTGTGGCTTTAAAGGTAATTTCTCTGCAAAACTTATTTTGCAATATTAACTAAGACAATATTTTGTTTAAAATATAACACAATATTAACTTCTTATTTACTGAACTGTTGTATCACATTTAAACTCATGATATTCAGGACAAAAACAACGTGATATAGCTTTCTCTGCCCGTGTGATATCATATGAAATAATTTTTTTTGCCCCAATATCTTGAATTTTAGGGCATAACTGCATTTATGTTTGTCAACTGTCAACTATATGAAATGTAAGATGACGTACAGGTCTGGGGGCGGGGCCAGTGTGTTAACTGTGTTGAAATATTTTAATCTCGTTATTTTTTCATAACTAATTATGTTAAACTGACAGCCCTAATAATAATCATCATAAAATTAATAATATATTGATATTAATATCATAATACATTAGTATTATTATGTATTATTTATATTATTAATAATATATCTTATATTGTATATTTTAATGATGTATTATTCATATAATTTTATATAATTGTATAATTTCATGTAATACATTTATTTTATTTTATGTTATTTATTTAGAATTGCTCTCATGCCATTTACAGCACGAGAGCATTTTTTTTCTGTACTGTATGTTGTTCATCAGTCACCCCACACTCTTCAAATTTGCCTGAACCATTGGAAAATGCACATCAGACGACCACTATCAAATAATCCTAAAATATCAAATATCATATATTGCATCTGGCTGACTGTTATATCGGTTTTGAAATTGTTTTTAGAAGGTATAGGCTGTTTTGTCATTTGGCAGCTGTGCTGTTATCCGGCTGGTCATCACGTTGAATTCATCTCTCCTGATGATCCTTCACTCCTTCCACTTTTTCCTTTTTAGTTTCCAGTTTTCCTCTACAGGTATTTTGGGTTTCTTCCTTGTTTTTGTGTTTGACCTTCCGTTCTGCTTCACAGCTCATGGTGTTAAACACAATCCCCATGTGCTCATCTCAGTACGAGCGTATGTTCAACACCAGTCGAGTTCCCGGTGTAGAAACAGGTAGAGCTATCCTCTCGCCTGCTTCACTTCGCAACCAATCCGCAACCAATCCGCTTTTAGATGCTAGCGAGCGACTGCTGTGGGCCTGAACTGCATAAGGGTTTGTGATTTGGATTGGCTGGTGTTTCTGGAGGAAGCAGACAACAGGAATTACTTTTGTGTGCTTAACTGATTCTTAACTTGATAAACTATTTGTGTGATTTAATGTTTAACCTGTTATCTGAAACAGGATGAATGGGGAACAGGAAATAGCATGTTTTTACACCCGTCTGGCTGTATAGTGGTGCCAGTCAAAGATGACTGTTGTTTTTATTGCTACTAATTTATAACATACTGTAATAAATTCAAGAGGTTTTAAACACTGAATTCATTCCAGTTTAGTAGCTAATAAATATACTTTACTCAATGACTTAATCTACAGCAAGACCATTTAGAAGATTTATATAATATAATAACGTAATAATGATAATGTGCTGTCACAGCAAAGTGGAAATATGTGGAATTGAGTTACTAATTCTTACTAAATGATAGTAAAATAAATTATTATTGAATTAAAATATAGATAACAATCATTTAGAATAACTTAACTCGTTTAGAGTGCATAAATATTAATGCAAAACTCAAAAAAGCAATAAATAATAGTCATCAATATAATAATAATGATGATCTATTACATGATGATGATAACGATGATTAATATTGAACTGTAATTTAGAGTGCATATATACTATTAATGCAGAAAACCAAAAACAATAAAATACATATAATATTCAATAATAATATATAATCAACACAATTAATCAGTAATAATAGTAATAATAGCAACAACAACAATAATAATAATAATTTTACTAATGATAATCATTCTAATCATTGTATAATTTTGTACTATAACTAATTATATTATTATTATTAATACCAATAATAATAATAAACTACACTTTAAGATGCATGTGTACTATTAATGCAAAAAAAGAATAACAATATAATAATAATAAGTTTATAAATGATGATGATGATGATTATAATTAATGTTGAACTATAATTTAGAGTGCATGTACACTATTAATGCAGACAATAAAATACATCATATAATAATAATCAATAATAAAATATAATTAACACGCTTAATCAGTAATGATGATGATAATAATAATAATAATAATTTTCTATTACATATGATAATCATTAAAATAATTAAAAAACATAATATTGTAATAATCAATAATAATAATATATCATCAAAGCACTTAATTAATAATAATAATAATAATAATAATCATAATATAGTAACGTAGTTATATATATTATATATATATATATATATATATGTGTGTGTGTGTAATAGTATATTTGAATCATGTTGCAGGCAGACAGTTAATTAATAATAATAATAATAATAATAATCATAATATAGTAACGTAGTTATATATATTATATATATATATATATATGTGTGTGTGTGTAATAGTATATTTGAATCATGTTGCAGGCAGACAGTTTCCTGCATAAATAATTTTATATTAATATTTAATGTTCATTCGTTTAATTATTTGGTTAATAGTAATAAGTGTATGTATCATGTATTTATAATGTGTTTATGCAAATCCAGTGCAGAAAAACTTACTCATTCACGCAGTGAAACTGCACGGCCATTGGTTTGTGCAGAGCAGAGCTGCACGAGCCTATGGCGACGAAGCCTGCCAAAGCCCGCCAGAATGGGCGGGGCATCTGGCTATATAAGCGGGCGGGCGCTCGCCACAGGATTCTCATGTTTACTTCGACTGAAGCAACGACTGAGTTGTGCAGCTACATAGCATGGCAAGCAACGCAGTACTCGTTCCCGTATCTCAGGGAACCGAGGTTACGTTAGTAACCGAGTACGTTCTCTTTCGATTGCTAGACGCATATGGGAACAGTCCAATCACGCCATGCTAATGTAGTGGAACGACTAAGGTATAACTTCCATAAGCAACCAATGCTTATAGAGAAGTCAACAATAACCGAAGGCTAAAACGGGCTGAGCTTTCTAGGTCACACCCGGCCTGGTTAATCATTCCAGAGTATACCCGTAACTTCGACACCCAGGGGTCGAGAGCTAACAGGTGAACAATACCAGAGAACTTGGGCACGTTACGGCCAAGGGCTCTCTGTCATGTCCGTTTACGCCGCGCGTGCCATTTCAAGTGGAAAGTACCCTGGCCTGTAAGGCCGGGACTTCCAGGTTATAAAACCTTGCAAATGTAGACGGCGAGGCCCAGCCGGCAGCCTCACAAATATCCGCAATGGACACACCACTGGACCATGCCCACGACGAGGCGATGCCTCTAGTCGAGTGGGCCCGTACTCCAATGGGGCATTCTAGGCCCAAGGAAGAGTATGCTAGCGAGATGGCATCTACTATCCATCTAGAGAGTCTTTGCTTCGTAACCGGAAACCCCTTGGTGCGATTACCGAAGCTGACAAGAGTTGTTCCGATCGCCTATAGCAGGGTTGGCGAACGTCGATCCTGGAGAGCCGCAGCCCTGCAGAGTTTTGCTTCAACCCTAATCAAACACACCTGAACAAGCAAATCAAGGTCTGAACTGTTACTAGGAAGCTACAGGCAGGTGAGTTTTAATTAGGGTTGGAGCTGAACTCTGCAGGGCTGCAGCTCTCCAGGACCGGAGTTCGCCACCCCTGGCCTATAGGGAGCGGAACACTCGATATAGATTCTCAATGCCCTGACGGGTCACCCATATGTCGGGCCGAGGATGCCATAATGTCCCGTTCACTTGAGAGAGGAGATCCCGTCTCAGTGGAACAGGCCAAGGGGCCGCTATCAGTAGCTGAGTCAGCTCTGATAGCCACAGCTGGTTCATCCAAAGGGGGCTACCAGGAGAACCCTGTGTTTTTGTTCCCTCACTCTCGAGCACAGGTTGGGTTGAGCCCACTCTAAGAAGCGCTCCACTAGCGTGAAAAGCCGCTTTGAAGAGAGGCCTCCCTGGAGATTTATGTAGGACACAACCGACATGTTGTCCGATCGGATTAGCACATGGTGCCCTTTCAGGACTGGCAGGAAGAACTGACAGGCTCGACATACTGCTAACATTTCCAGGCAGTTGATGTGGAAGCCTTTTTCCCCCTTCGACCAGTGGCCGAAAGTCGGTATGCCCTCGCACAGCGCCCCCCAACCTGAGTTGGAGGCGTCTGTCGTGACAACTGTCCTTCTGTGAACTATCCCCATGGCCACGCCCTGTTCCATCCAGCGGGAGTTCTTCCAACAGGGGGTCAGGGCCGATACTCAGGCCTGACTCACCCTGACATGCAGGTGTCCCTGATGCCACGCATGCGATGGAACACGTGGTTTCAACCAGCGCTGAAGGGGGCGCATACGCAGCAGACCCAACTGTAACACTGGAGATGTTGCTGCCATGAGGCCCAGCATCCTTTGAAACGCTTTGAGAGGGCAAGCGGTACCGATCTCGAAGGAGGTCGCCAGCTTCCGTATGGCCAGAGCTCTTTCCGGCGTGCCTACAGCTTTCATTTGGGCTGAGTCAAAAATCGTTCCCAGGAATGAATTTGCTGGCTGGGAAGCAACAAGCTCTTGGCAAAATTGACCCTGAGTCCCAGGCACTCCAGGTGGC